GGCTCGGGTCCCATCGAGCCAAACTGGTTTGTGCGTGGGGTGTCACGAGCCGAGTCTGCTATGCGTTTGTGGTGAAATATATCCGAGCCCGGCTCACGAGTCAAACTCGCTGAGCCAGACTCGTACGTGGATGGGCCGCTTAATGCCTCTTGGACTTGCGGGAAGTTCCCAACATTTTGGAGGAACGTACATTTTGTCTCCATCTTCAGACTTGAAGAAACACTGACATCTACATACAAGTCGACACAGCATTAAAACTTAGAAGACTGACATCAGCATTTTTACGTGGCTGGTTTTGCAGAAATAAGAGTATTGCATTGAATTATAATTTCCGCAATACAAGTGTTACCGTTCGTCGCTTAGTCTCTTCTTGGTAATACCAATTATATGTTTCATAGTAACCAATATAGTTCTTTAATTTCAGGTAAACTGCATTAGCACAGAGTTTACCCCAAAAAAGCATGGCGGAGAAAAGGGGGTTCCATTTCGAATCCAAGTCGAGACATACTTGCAGGGAGAGGGAACGCTAAGAAGATTACATGCTGCAGCGTGCCAGATTAAAGTTTTTAAGGTAACATAACCTCTATTGCAAGTCGACATTGTGATATTAGAATGCAATTTTATGTATAATGAAGTTGCAGGTTACTCTAGTAATGGAATTTAATAATTCATTTTAATTGGAATAGGAAACCAATCTTTATGGCCAGAAATCTTTATGCAAAGAAACGAGATAGTCACTAACTCTGTGGGAAGGTGATGGTCGATCAGCTCGTAAAGAAATCTCTTGCCTTTTATGGCATCTGAAGGTTCATTACTGTGTTCCCAAAACTTTGCCATGGGACTTTATCTTGAAATTCCCTTTATTTTATTTATGTTATTTCACAGCTTTAAATGTAACATCATTATATTACTTGTCAGTGTTTGGGTGCTGGGAACGCATGTCATTGACTTCCCAATGATTTACATTATAAAAGAGTTTCAATTTACGCCGGTTCGTCCAGGAACGCATCCCCGTCATAAATTGAGGGTTACCTGTATGCTGATGCCACTGTCTCGTTATATTTTCAGTTAAAAGGCGCTGACCGTAAGCACAAACAGGACCGAGAGAAGATACTGAAACGTCCCCCATTGGAGCAAGAGAAATTTCAACCTTCATATGACTGCACAGTGCTCAATGATGTAAGTGTCAAGCTCTTCCAATCGCTGCATGTTCAGCTTCAACCTAACCTCACTCATTCCTCTTCAGCGGGTCCCGATTCGAGTTTCCAGACTTACAGTCACAGCGTAGTTGTACTGATTCTCGTATGCGGAAAGCTTTGGGCTGGATGCCTGTTACATTAAGGGGGTTTTTACATATTTTTGGCCCTTGTGCTCTTAAACTTCAAATTCGAACTTTTTAACTTCGCTCTTTCAGAATGCATATCACCCCCCCCCCCCCCTACACCAAATTTGTCTGCAAGATGTAGGGGTACATGAAATAGGTGTGATATGATTATATATTTGAGGTACATTATGTGTACATAAGAAATCATTTATGTCTAAATTTGGCAACTGGATTAATAATGGTCTGATGTGGAGGTATTTTTCTTCGAAACATCGGATGGGTCAATTGTAATTTAAAAAAAAGCTACGAATCCAACTTGCTCGTCCTAGTTTAAGTAATTTAATACCACGGACAGCAGTGAGTAATTTTGAGTTTCATTTGTCAGATTACTTCGGAGTCTCTGAATACAAACTCCGTAAGTCCCGCAGTAACGTCTACAAGTTCCGGCGGAACCAGCTTTAGCCCACACTCTGAAAACCAGTAAGTAACACACCATCAGTTTGTATTAGTATTCCTCAAAGGTCTTACTGATGCACGTTCTTTGTGCTTGGTGTCCCTTCTGCTCTCCTTCAGCTACAGATTACGTCAGTGGTCCCCAACCTTTTTGTGCCTACGGGCACATTTGAGAGTTTATGAGATCGTGGCGGGCACCAACCAATTAACAAAGCCAAATTTTCTTTTCTCTGGACAAATAAGATATGGATACCAAATAATACACAAAACAACACGACGTTTAATGATACAAGAAACCGTGCAATAAAAAATACGTAGTTTTATAAGTACAATTATTATTATTACTCAAGTGGGAGGTTAGTGTGATGTTTGGCACTGCATTTCATCGGCAAGTTTTTCAACTGTAGGAATCCGTTTTTAAAGCTCAGTTTAATTTGTCTTTATCTGTTAGAGTTTGAATATTTTTTATGCTAAATTATTGTAATTGATGTCCGCAGTGGCCGTGCAGTCTGAGGCGTGGGCCTTGTGCCACTTGGACCGTGGGTTCGAATCCCACTCAAGCCATGGATGTTTTTCTGTGTTGTGTTGTCCTGTGTACAGGTAGGGGCCTTGCGACAGGCTGATCCCTCGTCCAAGGAGTCCTACTGAGTGTCTCTAGATCAAGCCAACGAAAAAGTTGGGACCCGCAGTGCTCAGGCACTTGAAGAATGCGTCGTTCCTAGTACCCAGTATTATTGTGATTGTCCCCTTCAATCTGGCTGTCATTTTGCAAGAACTTCAGGAGTATGTTTCATTTGATCTCTTAATTTTGAACACTTAATCTGTGAATCAAAGTCCAGTGTCTTGCCCCGAGATCACCAGGTCCCACTTGGTAGTAGCCGCATATTGACTTACAGAGCATGAAACTAGTAGCCATGTTTATGTATGTGATAGAAATGTCCTGTAGAGGCAGGTTATCAAATCTTAACCTGTAACAGCTGTTCTGAAACCACCACAGTGGTCACGTGGTACTGTTAATCCCTGATGTTGTCAGCACTTCTCTCGTAATGCTTCTTAAGTAGAATCACATGATGGTTTAGTCCGTCTGGCCGGCTCCTGCCACATTTTATGTTGTTATATGTGTGTGATTTATGTCATACGTCTTGTTTGCGGAGTATTTACCTGACACCAGGATACAAATACCATACTAATATAATATTTTAGTGTTTCGTGTTGGTCAGTGTTAACTGGGACCCAGATCGTGTTTTTTAATCAGTAAAGCTGTTCACTTCTGGTGTGACAGTTTCACCATGGTGAACAAAGTGGGAACTATAATAAAGTTAAATCATTTAATTCCTCAGCGTCTGACGACGCGAACCTGAAATCTCACAAAACAATATTACTTTACTAATACACATTTTATTAATTTTTATAAAAAATAGCGTTCATGTTTTTAATACATGATTTGATCCATAATAAGAATGGATGATATTACGTTACGTTTGAAAAGGTATTGGGTCGTTAAGGAAACATTTTTCTAAGATTGGAATAAAGGCATCTTAATACTGTAGTGTGTGCAGCGCCAGGACCATTGTACGCATTTTTGCAAATTTTCTTTGCGGACGCCAAAATTCTGTGCTGACCAAGGTCTTCGTGGTCTGTATCACAGCTTCACATTCGTTCTGTATTTATATTTCTGCTGGCTGTCAGCTTGTATCTGTAATGGAGACAGTAGTTAAGCAAAATGATGGCTGTCTTGTGGGTTGTTGCGCCATGTAGATGTCAAAATCTACCGGGGTACACGGTGCAACAACCCAGAAGACAGGAATCTCCTGGTTCACGGCTGTGAAAACCTCAAATCCTACACAGTATTTAAGGAGTTTAATAGGATCTTGACACTGTTAAATGCACCTGGAACCTGTAATTACCCAGCGAAGATAACCAGAATTTACTAGTTTTTTTGTAAAGCAGTCATTAGCAAGCCTGTCATTGTGTGTTGAAATAGCATATAATATGACTATGAGAGAAGAAATGAATAGGCAAATTGCAGATAATACAGGACTAAACTAGATACCTTCTCGGCGTGTGAACACGCCCATTATTTCCAGCATTGGTGCTATTGGCTGTGTAGGAAAACAATTGTTTCCACGGACTGGAACGTCCGACCGTGTTCGGCCATGTTTGACTCACGAGTCGTTCGTTACCGAGCATGCGCCGGCTTGTCCGCCGAGGCTGGCTGTTTGTCGAGGCCATTTCTAAGGTGTAATCTGTGCCAGAACAGATAACTTGACCGTTTGTTTCCTCGTGGAGTATTTGTTATAAGCTTCGTCTCTTGCAGTAGATGACGTCGACAAATAATAACATTTCACTCATTCACAGCGCCTTCGAATGGACAGAAATTCGAGTTTATTTTTATTTTTATTAATGTACGTCTCTCGTAAACCGGGATGGCTCAGTCTGAAGCGATTGACTAGGGACTGGTCTGTGTTGGTTCTCGGCGCAGGCAGTGAGATTTCACCCGGCCCTGGGGCTGGCGGGCCAACGTTGCCTGCCTTTACAGATGCTTTGCAGTAGATGTTCGTGACGTTCGTGCGGGACACGTAAAACCGGATGAAGACAACGGCCTGATGTGGGCCGGATCTGGCAGGAGTGAACTAGTTCAGATTGAATTCTAGTAGTCGGGGGGAGACAAGACAGCCTTGCTACTGGCATGATAAGACAAAAATGTCGGCGCCTCTCTGATTTCTTAGGGTTACCGCACACTTGCCTTATGACAATTTCGGGAACTTGTTCCGAGTGCCAAGGAGGACCAGTCCTGCGGTTTCCCTACCGCAAAGAAAACTTATTTAAGCTGGAACAATTATCTAATCGATAATTAGTGACAGCTTGATAACAGGTACGGCGGAATTTTGATTTGTTTGTTAGAGAACGTTGAAGGTATATTTTGGAAAGTTTATCTAGCGTAAGTGGGTAAATTTTCGAGAGGTCTGCATGAGAAGCATGCAGTGGCAGCTCTGAATTTGGGGACCATCTCAGTATTTGCATTAAAAGACGGAGGAAAACCAAGAAAACTTGTGTTGAGATGGCTTTGATCGTCTGATATTTATGAGTTGAGTCCGTACCGCAAAGAAAACACAAGGCGTCTCCGACTACCATTGGTTTGAGGTAGTAATCTCTTTATACACTGGGAATCAGATTCCAGAAATAGAAAATGGAGTTACTGCTGGGCTTAAAACGATATGGACGAGAATCCCTTTGTTCTGGTACATTCGTGAACTGGAGAAGTATCAGATTAATGATTGCTCTCGTGAAAAATGTTAAAACCCGGTGTCTTGACGGGGGGCGCTGTGGTATCTTGTTGAGAAGTGACGTCACACGTATTGATTGCCGTGCATGGCTGTGTTCGAACCGGTTAAGCCAAGACTCTCTGATCCAGACTTGTGGCGCGGAAGGCCTTTTACCCTGACAGCCGGACAGAACCGGTAATTGTGGAGGCTGAGTCCGAACTGCGTTTAGAATTGCATGCAGCGTGCTGATTCTGGAGAGCCCAAAACACGGTTTTTTTTTTCAAATTCTTTAGTTTCGACCTATGTTCCTGCGGTCTTTCAAAGCCACGGTTTAAATTCCGAGATACGACGTTTTGTAGGCACATTATCATCCCCATCTTGAGGATAGAAGTTTGCCCCAACACTTTCTGCTTTAGCTTGAAAGTATATACAGCAGACGATGGCAGCGTGTTCCTCAGAATCATCAATTGCCACTTACTAGACTGCGCTGTCTTCCAGTGTAGTCAGTTTGCTACATGAAAAATATACTTTCACCCTCAGTCCTATCGGTTTATTTAATTTTCGTAATTCGAAATTAACCCCAAAAATTGTGTGATACCCAAAATTTTGGTCGTTTTTGTTTCTTCATCTCATATACTTTCCGGATGATACCGATTTTGATCTGACTCTCTTATAAACGATTTTTGGATTTTCCAGCATTTTAAACCAAGCGACATTTTCTTAATCGCAGCGTCACTCCTTTTTTTTTGAAAAAAAGCGAGCATTTCCATAAATTTTGCAGTCATTAAATAAAGACTGCTTTTTCCGCTCATTTCTTTTGTAGAATCGAGCGGTGGTTGGTGCCTGGATGTAAGAAATCTGTTCTTCTTCCCGTTGGCTAAATTCCAAGAATGCTTACGTTTATCTTGATGTGATGAAGTTCACTACACTCATCCGATAATCATTTGTTGTTTTAATTGCATTCTTTATTTCTCCAGTTCGATTTGGTCACTGAAATCTGCGAGCGCAAATTGTTTTGTGTGAAACTCGAAATTTATCAAATTCGCGTTGTATAAACGTCATAAAACTATCATTTACGACATCGTAACCTTTGTCTTAGGTTGAGTCACGAACGTTCACATTAGTTATGTCTTTTCAGCGGCATTGAAAGATTAATGTGCGTTTTATCATTAACAAACGCAGGTTTATTCTTTTAAAGACATTTTTTCTGAACCCTTTTACAGCTTAGCATAAGCTGCTTCTACAGTACTAATATTTTCGTGATGTTCAGACGTCGCAAGGAATCCGTATAATTTGGAGATATTTGCAATAAAAGTTTTATAAAACAATATTTTGCTGAGAGATGTTTCAGCCTTAATATCCACCTGAAAACGTGGTACCACTCCTTGTCGGCTGTCCCATAGTAGCTTTTGTTAATATATTTGCAATTACTGTGTTCACCCTTAACATGAAGACATCCTACACTGGTGTATGGAGCTCGTGTTTTTTTGAGAGCAGTTAACATTTTTTTTATTTAGTGTTCTGTCTGACGACAGGTCCATATGAACAGGATCCTTCCATCCTTTTCTCGGACTGGGACCTGTTCATATACGTTCTTGGCAGATGATCCAGAAGTGGTTTGCCATTGCCTTCTTCTGTGTGTGAATGGAGTAATTGTTGGGATGCCACGGAGAAACCGGGGAAGCCCCCGGAGGAAAACTCCGTGGTGCCTAGACCACGGCCTTGCCCAACACAAGTTATAAATGCGGGCCCCGCCGGGAATCGAACCCGAGACCCCAGGATTACAAGGCCAGCGTTCTAACCGCTAGACCCCCTCATCTTATTATTATTTAGTGTTCTGTCTGACGACAGGTCCATATGAACAGGATCCTTCCATCCTTTTCTCGGACTGGGACCTGTTCATATACGTTCTTGGCAGATGATCCAGAAGTGGTTTGCCATTGCCTTCTTCTGTGTGTGAATGGAGTAATTGTTGGGATGCCACGGAGAAACCGGGGAAGCCCCCGGAGGAAAACTCCGTGGTGCCTAGACCACGGCCTTGCCCAACACAAGTTATAAATGCGGGCCCCGCCGGGAATCGAACCCGAGACCCCAGGATTACAAGGCCAGCGTTCTAACCGCTAGACCCCCTCATCTTATTATTATTTAGTGTTCTGTCTGACGACAGGTCCATATGAACAGGATCCTTCCATCCTTTTCTCGGACTGGGACCTGTTCATATACGTTCTTGGCAGATGATCCAGAAGTGGTTTGCCATTGCCTTCTTCTGTGTGTGAATGGAGTAATTGTTGGGATGCCACGGAGAAACCGGGGAAGCCCCCGGAGGAAAACTCCGTGGTGCCTAGACCACGGCCTTGCCCAACACAAGTTATAAATGCGGGCCCCGCCGGGAATCGAACCCGAGACCGCAGGATTACAGGGCCAGCGTTCTATCCGCTAGACCACCGTAGCGGCCAGTTAACATTAGGACCTGATAAGTTAGTTAAAAGTTTCCGCTGACCTAACAGCGCTAATTCGTTTAGGATTAATTAGAGAGAGAGAACTTTATTTTCAGACAGTACTGCGTCTTTGTTATGTTGTGCGTTTTTTGTAGTTGCACGAATACTAATGTTAATTGTGCGGCGACGCTGTCAGTAAGTGTACAATGTAAGTGTCGGGCGCAGAGCAGGGGAAAAGTGCTGATTTCGGCAACAAATAAAATGTGCCTCTGGTGCAGGTGACAGACAAGTAATTAAGAGTTTCGCTATATAATGTCATTATCATGCATAGTCCGTGAGACTACAGAAGCATCACGTCACGAGAGACACACGAAGAAGATAACTCACGCGTGTTCACCGCGTTACAGGTAAGACATTTCGTTGGTTTCCCTACGGGGGTCTTGCTGTCTAGATGCGTCTCTCTCACTCTCTCAGTACGCCAGTGTTTTGATTCAAGTACGGATATTGCTATTATGGACACTGACCGGAAGTTTTCATTACGGCAGAGTTATTAATACAGCCGGAAGTGCCTCTCTCTGCGCCGAATCTGCAGTCTGATCGAAGTCACGCAACGCGTATGAAGATATTTATTTATGGTTGTCATTTAGTACAATTCGATTGGATTTATAAACACACAGAGTCGCTTTGACTGCACGTCACGTGATGTTGCAACCTGTTCGTGTCAGTACGTCAGTTGTGTTTCGACAATTGAAGTACAACGTTGTCTGGTTCATTGGCGTCTCGTTGTTTACTTAACTTGCCAAAATGAATTTAGGGACACGTTTCCCGAATGTCCTGTTGCAAAGAAATCGACAATTGTCTCGTCTGGTGAACCATATTTTTTTTAAAATTTTCTCGTCTTCATCTAATTCATTTATTTACACAAACAGAATTTGTATCGGGAATGGCTTGCGTCATTTATCGA